TTTGCAAAATTGTTAGGCTTAGTGAAAAACATTCAGAAATGCTCTTTGCTTAAAGACATACAGTAAAGCTTTCCATGTATATGTCAACAATGACGTGCAGTTACTGATTTGGCTCCCTCTGGTGGCCAGAGAAAAATCTGACCAAAATTTGCTGAAATCAAATTATAGGATTTCCTGTACAGTACAACCTACACATTATGCAAAGTGTTAATGTGCCATTAAGATGCATAATTTGAAACAATCATGTCTTTATTTTAATCTTTGACAGGAATAATTACATTTTAGATTGTTGGCAGTACATTGAGCATTGTAAGAGCCAACTTAAGCCAATTCAAGCCAAATCTCATAGGTTTCCTCAACTGATAATTTTCAATGTATGTATCAATTTTAGTCACAATCGGAGCATAAGTGACAGATTTGTGGTCCCTTGTTTCCGAATAGGCTGGACATTGTGCTTAAAAGCCAAGGTTTTTAAAATAATTATTGATCTTTAGACTTCGACGGTTGTTTAGAGAGCAAGTTTGAGACGATGCAAAAACATTTCAGCAAGCAGTATGAAAACATCAGTTTTCAAACTCCGATGATTTACAGAAAAACAATAGTTTTTTAAAAGACTTGTATTTGCAAAATTGTCAGGCCCGGTGGAAAGCAAAAAGTACAGAAATTGTCTTGACCAAAAGACATAGAGTAAAGCTTTCCACTTATAGTATATTTTTTATTAATTAGTTGAACATTGACATTTGCAGTTACTGATTTGGCTCCCTCTGGTGGCCAGAGAAATATAAAACACCTCTTGCTCTAATTAAAATTTGCTGAAATCAAATTATAGGATTTCCTGTACAGTTAAGCAACCTACACATATTTGCAAAGTGTTAATTCTTATTAAGATGCAGAATTTGAAACAATAGTCATGTCTTTATTTTAATCTTTGACAGGAATAATTACTTTTAGATTGTTGGCAGTACATTGAGCATTGTAAGAGCCAACTTAAGCCAATTCAAGCCAAATCTCATAGGTTTCCTCAGCTGATGATTTTCAATGTATATATCATTTTTGGTCACAATCAGAGCATAAGTGACAGATTTGTGGTCCCTTGTTTCTGAATCGGCTGGACCAAACTGATTGATCCATAACTTGCAATAACATTGTGCTTAAAAGCCAAGGTTTTTTAAATAATTATTGATCTTGAGACTTTGACGGTTGTTTAGAGACCAAGTTTGAGACGTTGCAAAAACATTTCAGCAAGCAGTATGAAAACATCAGTTTTCAAACTCCGATGATTTACAGAAAAACAATAGAGTTTTTTAAAAGACTTGTATAAGCAAGATTGCTTGGCTCAGTGGAATACATAAAATTCAGAAAGTTCCTTTGCCGCAAGATAGATGTTGCAAAGACTATGACCATAGGTATGTTTGAAGTCATAATTTGCATTTAATGCTGATGCTCCCTCTGCTGGGCAGAAAATATATTACCCTTATTAATTATGTGGCCATCCTGGCTTTAACTCAAATTTCCACATTTCCTGTGCAATTTTGGAACAGACATATAATTGTTTTAGACGTTAATAAGATGTGTAATTTAAAAACATTATCTTTTCTTTATTTCATTCATAGAAGAATATAATGACATTTTAATAATTACGCACTAGATTAAGTATTGTAGGGGCTTATGATAATCAATTTAAAAGAAACTTTGCATGTTTCATCAGAAAACAGTATTGTACAAGTTTACCAAGATTTATCACAATCACCTAAAAACTAAAGAATCTATAGCCCCCTAAGTCAGAAAAGGCCAGGCCGAACAGATTCATTGGTGTCTCATGTCTGTTGTTTGCAATAAAGTCTAGGTTTTTTTGATAATTATTTACCTACGAACTCCACAGATTGTTTTAAGACCAAAATTGAAACAGTTGTTTTAAAATCCACAGACTAGTTCGAAAAGCTCAATTTTCAAACATTGATCAATCAAAGAAAAACTTTACAGAATTTTAAAAGACTTGTATTGGATAAAATGTCATACTCAGTGTAAGCAATGACATTTATTGATTTATTTTGATATATGATAAAATTTATAGGACTTATTCTTGTTTATACTCTGTAGCGCTACCTCATGGCCAATTGAGGTCAAACTTTATAGGCTATTAGAGATTGCCTATGTGGACACATGATATAATTTTTGTGATGATTGGCCAATGCTAAGCCCTCCAAATGCCTGTTGAAAGCTTATTGGCCAATGGCGGCCATATTTGTCAAATGATTCAGTTGTCCTTGATAGATCTTGTAAATATTAGGCGATGGATACAGCATGCAAAGTTTCAGCTCAATTGGCCAAGCGGTTGCTGAGAAACAGATTTTTGGCTGTTATAGTGCCCCCTACTGAGGAATCGGTATCAACCTTGGTGGGCTTCCACAGAATCATGTGGGGTACAGGACTGATAACTTTGATGTGAATTGGCCAAAGCATTCTCGATCTGTAGCCATTTATGTGAATTAAGCCAAACCCACAGGGGATTAATTGGCACGTGCCAGCCATACTGTTTATAAATATTCAAATTTTTTTGATAATTCTTGACCTCCAGACTCTCCTGAACATTTGGAGACCAATATTGTGTTGATATCTTGAAAAACCTCAGACTAGTAGAAAAATGTAGATGTCACATATTTTGCCAATTATGATGATAAATTTGGGGGCGGAGCTAAAAACTTGTAGTGGGGTGTTGATGTAGAATAAAGCAAGGATTATGTAGAAGCAAGAATTTTGAGGATAGCCCCCATGGTTCAGGAGATATGGGCAAAAATGTAAAATGTTGCTCTATAGCGCCACCATCAGGCCAACTGGGGTCATTTCAGTTGCCTGAGTAGTGGGGGGGATCTACACCTACCCTCTAAGTTTGGTCTTTGGATGACTTACAGTGTCTTCTCCACAAACCGTTTTAGGGCAGAAGAAGAAGAAGAAGAAGAAGAAGAAGAAGAAGAAGAGAAAAATCTGAGCAAAAGCAATAGGGTCCCATGCACCTAAAGGTGCTTGGACCCCTAAAAATCTTGACAGTTCCAATAGGGTTCTACGCACCGCGTGCTTGAACCCTAATAATAAGAAAAACTCTAACAAAAACAATAGGGTCCTATGCACTGCGTGCTTGGACCCTAATAATAAGAAAAACTCTAACAAAAACAATAGGGTCCTACGCACTTGCGTGCTTGGACCCTAAAAATAAATATGTGTATTTAGTTTATATTTAACTAATTGGTGAAATAAGGTTTTCATTGCATTGTATGAATTAAAAAAAGTAGTAATGTGTGGTAAAATTATATATATATATATATATATATATATATATATTTGTTGTGTTTAAAGTGCTGTATAAATAAAGTTGACTTGACTTAACTTCACTAAGGGAAAATAGCAAAAGTATTAATAATATTTTTTACTCACAATTTCCAAAATGTGGAAATCACAGCATTGTCATTTTCAAATTTTTGAACAGCAGAAAAAGGCCTATTCCAGTTTAGCGTAACACAATGAATAGAAATTATATTTAAGATATATTAGAATTAATAAATACACTATATTGCCAAAAGTATTCGATGGTCTGTCTTCACACGTAAATGAACTTAAGTGGCATCCCATTCTTAATCCATAGGGTTTAATATGATGTCAGCCCACCCTTTGTAGCTATAACAGCTTTAACTCTTCTGGGAAGGCTTTCCACAAGGTTTAGGAGTGTGTTTATGGGAATTTTTGACCATTCTTCGCATTTGTGAGGTCAGACACTGATGTTGGACGAAAAGGCCTGGCTCGCAGTCTCCAATCTAATTCATCCCATAGGTGTTCTGTCGGGTTGAGGTCAGCGCTGGTGTGCAGTCATGTTGGAACAGGAAGGGGCCATCCCCAAACTGTTCCCACATAGTTGGGAGCATGAAATTGTCCAAAATCTCTTGGTCTGCTGAAGCATTAAGAGTTCCTTTCACTGGAACTGAGGGGCCGAGCCCAACTCCTGAAAAACAACCCCACACCATAATCCCCCCTCCAACAAACTTTACACTTGGCACAATGCAGTCAGACAAGTACCGTTCTCCACCAAAACCCAGACTCGTCCATCGGATTGCCAGACGGAGAAGTGTGATTCGTCACTCCACAGAACACGTCTCCACTGCTCTAGAGTCCAGTGGTGGCGTGCTTTACACCACTGCATTCGACGCTTTGCATTGCGCTTGGTGATGTAAGGCTTGGATGCATCTGCTCAGCCATGGAAACCCATTCCAGCTCTCTACACTGTTCTTGAGCTAATGTGAAGGCCACATGAAGTGTGGAGGTCTGTAGCGATTGACTCTGCAGAAAGTTGGCAACCTCTGCGCACTATGCGCCTCAGCATCCGCTGACCCTGCTCTGTCATTTTACATGGCCTACCACATCGTGGCTGAGTTGCTGTCATTCCCAATCGCTTCCACTTTCTTATAATACCACTGACAGTTGACTGCGGAATATGGCATCCTATCACGGTACTACGCTGGAATTCACTGAGCTCCTGAGAACGACCCATTCTTTCACAAATGTTTGTAGAATGCCTAGGTGCTTGGTTTTATACACCTGTGGCCAGGGAAGTGATTGGAACACCTGAATTCAATGATTTGGATGGGTAAGTGAATACTTTTGGAAATATAGTGTATTAACCCACTCTTAGCCTTTTGTTGTGCAGTGATCAGCAATGTGCAGCAGTGTTTTTTCAGCAATGTGCTCACTGGTAATCAAGTTTTACCATCAACACTCAGGAACTAATAATAAGTTCACACTAGATATGGCAAAAAATTTACTGCTGTCTCAAGGTTGAAACTTTCTAGCATGTTGCTGCTCTAAAGTTCTTTTAGTAAAGAAACCCTCGGTGTGTCTAATGTCGTACCTGTCTGACGTCAGTTCCGGGTGAGAGTCTCGCTGACGTCCGTCTGTTCGATTGCTGCTTCTCCCCATGTCTCTGCGTTTAGTGTTTGTTTTGTTTTGGTCAGCTGTTTTTGAATCGCTGCAAGTGCTATTTCTATTGGTGCTAGCTGTTTTCCACTCCCGATTGTCTGTGCGACATTCACTGCTGCTGTCCTACTCTGCTCCTTGGCTGACTGCGGCGGCACTCACCGCTGCTGTCCTGCCCTGCTCCCCGGCTGTCTGCGGCGGCACTCACCGCTGCTGTGCTGCTCTGCTCCCCGGTTGTCTGCAGCGGCACTCACCGCTGCTGTCCTGCCCTGCTCCCCGGCTGTCTGCGGCGGCACTCACCGCTGCTGTGCTGCTCTGCTCCCCCGCTGTCTGTGGCGGCATTCACTGCTGCTCTGCTACCCTGCTCCCTGGCTGTCTGTGGCGGCATTGACCGCTGTTGTACTACTCTGCTTCTCGGCTGACTGCCTTGGCCTTATCGCTGCTGCGCTACTCTGCTCCTCGGCTGACTGCTGTGGCCTTCACCGCCGCTGCGCTACTCTGCTACTTGGCTGACTGTGGTCTCCACCCTCCACCGCTGCTGCACTACTCTGCTCCTCAGCTGACTGCTGTGGCCTTCACCGCCGCTGCGCTTCTCTGCTCCTGGGCTGACTGCTGTGGCCTTCACCGCCGCTGCGCTACTCTGCTCCTGAGCTGACTGCTGTGTCCTCCACCGCTGCTGCGCTACTCTGCTCCTCAGCTGACTCCTTTGGCCTCCACCGCCGCTGCGCTACTCTGCCCCTCGGCTGACTGCAGCGGCACTCACCGACGTTGCACTACTCTGCTCCTCGGCTAACTGCGGCGGCACTCACCGCTGTTGCGCATCTCTGCTCCTCGGCTGACCGTAAGCTGCATTCACCGCTAATGATTTGCCAAGTAATCACTTAATTTCGCTGGTTAATTTTGTGTATAAACCTCTCCTATTTAATAATGCAGCTGTTAACCTCCATGGCACTGCTGTTAGCTATTAGTCGTTTATATTCTCTGTTTCTGGTTAGTCCAAGATTTGTGTACTATACTCTTTCTGAGCTACATAGGTGCATTAATTCCAATTGCCTCTCTAAAGCGGCTGCTGTATCTGCCTGTAAAGCAGGTATATTGTCCCGACATCGTTATGTCCACCGGGACTCGAGACAGTATCGTAATAGATCCTTCCACTACTCAGAAGGCACTAATATAAGTTCATTCTGGACTGCATCTCGTACAGTCGTTTATGCTGCATGTCGTACTGCCAATTTATGTAACCTATGCACTCTGCCTCCTACTGCTCCTGGCACCTCTTCTGCACTCTTGAATGTCCGCTCTCTTTCTAGTAAATCGCCTGTGCTGCAGGAGTGCATACTCGATAATATGATTGACATGGTCTTCCTAACCGAAACCTGGCAACAAGCTGGTGACTTTTTTGTTTTAAACCAGGCAACTCCCACTAATTTCAAATAGATTTGTAAACCCCGTTCCTCTGGGCGAGGAGGAGGTCTGGCTGTAATTTTTAACAGTAAAATCATTATTAATGAAATTAGCCTTACAGCTGTAACCTCTTTTGAATATCTTGCTTTGAAATTACCCAATTCCATAATTGCAGTATTACTCTATAGCCCTTCAAAGCCTATTCCTCCTTTCTTTTCTGAACTATCTGAGCTACTTACACTTGTTTGCTCAGTTTCTCCCCTATGACTCTCCTATGACTCTGCCTCACCGCTCTTCTAAAAGATCCATTTCATTCCATAAGATTCAGTCTGTCGACCCCCTTACTCTTAGCCAGTCCATTTCTACTGTGTTTCCTACTGATTTTGCTCCTTCTTCTCCTGATGACCATGCTTCTATGCTTAATACTGCACTTTCTGACTCTCTTAATGCACTAGCACCTTGGGAATCTAAAACTGTTAACTTTGTCACCTCCTCTCCCTAGTATACCAATGAACTCCGCTCCATGAAGCAAAGTGTTCGCTGATTTCTGCTATCCCCTACTAATAATACCTCTTCCCTTTCCTCTCTGACTGTCCATCCCATATGCCCCAGCCCCCCCTCCTCTAATCTCTCTACCTGTTGATTCTTCTTCCATTATAAACACCGTAACTACTTCTAAAACTACAACTTGTTCTCTTTATCCCCTTCCAACAACCTTAACTAAAGCTTATCTTTCTGCCCTGGTCCCTCATCTCACAATTCTTGTCAGTAACTTCTCTGTGTACCCTCTGCTTACAAGATTGCTGCTATCACACCCATAATTAAAAAAACCTGGCCTTGATCCACTAGAACTCAGTAATTACCGCCCCATTTCTAACCTCCCTTTCCTGTCCAAAGTACTTGAATGAACTGTGGCAAGCCAACTTCAGTATTACTTATCAGCTAACTGCCTCTTTGAACCATTCCAGTCCGCATTTCGTCGCTCTCATAGCACAGAAACTGCCTTAATAAAGGTCACTAATGACCTCCTGGTGTCTGCCGATATTGGTGCGCTTAGCATCCTTCTACTACTTGACTTGAGTGCAGCTACTTTGACACGATGAGCCACTCAATCCTCCTATCAAGGCTGCATGATCTGACTGACAGAAAACAGTTAGTCACTGGTTAAAATACCCCCCCTTTTCCCCCCTCTGTGGTGGTTCCTTCCAATTTCTCAGTTGGTACGGTCCATTTTGTAATCGTTTAGGAGGACATAAGCCAGTTAAGACACTTGTTGGGTTGTTCTGCTGCGGCATCTATTTCCTTTGGTGTGTGTGCATGTAAAGTAAGTAGTGTTGTTGTGATGTTTTCACTTTAATATTATATATGATGTGTCTTCAGTATGGTCTGGCTAGCTTAGTTAAGTATGTTTTCATATCCCTCTGTAGTTGCCCTTGCTGACTAGCCCATGCCTAAGCCTGGCCAGCTAAATGATAGCCAGCTAAATGACAGAGCAATAACTCTAATCAACGAGTTCGAGTCAAATTGACATATTGTCAACTATTAGTTCATGGGCAAGTGAGTTAGTTAGTCTGGGCAACTGAATATTTGTTTACACATCTATGTATCCATTAATGTGTGCACGTATTTGTTACCTGATTAACTTGTTGAATCCTGTAACTAACAGAGCTTAAGTCCATATTTTGAAGGAGCATTGTCCTAAATTGCCGTTAGTTTATGTAGTGTGTACTGAGAATCTTTGTGTTTCTGTATATCTACAATTGCCTGGGTTGTTATTCTATCTTATGGTGCTATATGAGGTTCGAGAGCGATCTAGTGGTTAAACTAAGTATTGACATTTATATTGTTGTACTTCATGTTAATTCCCTAATGTTTATTATTGTATGTGTTTCCTATTGCTTTATAGGAACCCACACATATTTTATTATTTCATTGTACGTCAGAGTTCAGAAATTTCCCTGTTCAAGTTGTGTGGTAGTGGCAAACCCTTCAATAAAGGGATCAAGCTTATACTTGGACTTGTGATTCTGATCAATCACCTGTGGTGGGCTAGCACTCCCGAATCCGGCACATTAGTTGTAATTGGAGTAGCCAGAGTCAGCCATTCCTTCAGTTCAGTCACCCTTGGTGGCCATAATTAATGTAAAAATTTAAGGGTTATTTCCTGTAAAATTAGGACCTTTTTTTACAGTGTTCCACTCTGTCCCTGTAGCTCCTTTTGGCTAGCCTGATGGTCCTCTGAAGGTCATATCTGGCCTTCTTGTAGCTAGCCGGGTCACCAGAGTTGTAGGCAGCAGCCCGAGCTCTTAGTTTGGCTCGAACCTCAGCATTGATCCAGGGTTTCTTTGGTTGGGAAATGTTTTGACATTGATTTTTGGTACAATGTCTTCAGTGCATTTATTGACGTAGCTTGTGATGGAGTCAGTGTATTCATTGATGTCTGTGCCAGCTGCATCATGCAGTCTGCATCCAGTCTGTGGATTCAAAGCAGTCCTGAAGTGTGAAGATGGCCTCCTCACTCCATTGATAGACTGATCTGAAAACTGGTTTTGCCTGTTTAAGTCTTTGTTTGTATGCGGGCAGGAGAAGAATGGAGGTGTGATCAGCTTTGCTGAAGGCAGGGCGGGTGAGGGGTTTGTAACTGTCCTTGAGTGCAGTGTAGCAGTGGTCAAGAGTCTGTTCTCCTCGGGTGGGAAATTTAATGTGCTGGTAGTATTTGGGCAGAACCTTTTTCAGGTTTGCCCTGTTAAAATCCCCAACCACAATAAAAACAGCCTCAGGATGAAAGTTCTCAAGTCCATTAATGGTCTCGTACAAAACTTCCAATGCACGTGACTTATCTGCCTGAGGTGGGATGTGGACTGTAGTGAGAATGACTAAGCTAAAGTCCCTGGGCAAAAAAAGGGTCGAACTTTGACTGTTATGAGTTCAATGGCTGGAGAGCAGTGACTGGCTAGAACCATCTGTTCCCCATCGAGAGTTCACCATAACACATACCCCGCCGCCTCTGCCCTTACCAGAGTCCAGAGTTCTGTCCTGGCGGTAGATGGAGAAGCCAGCCGGTGTGATGCCATTGTTTGGAATCGCCGCGAATAGCCACACCTCCATGAGGGCTAAAACGCAGCAGCTCTCGATGTCGCAGTGAAACTTGATCCGTGCATTCAGCTCGTCCATTTTGTTCTCCAGCGATTGAACATTTGCGAGCAAAATACTTGGGAGCGGAGGGTTGAAGCATCTTTTCCTAGTTCTGCATAATATCCCAGCGCGTCTGCCCCTCTTGCGCTTCCTCCTGCTCCGCCGGCGTGCGTGTGTTAAATGCGTGGTAAACAAAGAGGCAGAGAAGCCACGAAGGGACAGCCACTCGCGTCCGAGCGTGTGTTTGTGAAGTCCAGAGCACACACACAGTGGCTGTATTGCTGAGTTAAAAAGCAGCAAAGCATTGACAAATGTGTTTGGTGTGACATTTGAATGTGTTCTACAGAAACAGCTTTCCTCCAGATGTACTGCACGATCTGTTGGAAGGGATAGTGCCAGTTGATTGCTAACATGCTTTACAATCGAAAAGCTAAACAGCATCATTCCATACCGTTTTCCATACCGATTTTCTGATAGCGTTAACCATCCTCAAAAAATCCCTAAGACCTTTTTCTCCAAAACAATTGGAGGTGAGGTGTATTTAGAAGAATAGTTTTATAGAAGAAGGTAAAAACACTTAAATTTCTGTAAGTATAAGGTAAGGTCTCAAGTCCTCTGTGTTATCTGTCCTGCAGGATTTGAAATGTTTACGTTAAAGGGGCCCCTGTTCCAAAGGTCTCTCTCTTAGTTCCACATAGATGAGATCAATGTAAAAGGGCCATATGTTCAGTTTGCTTTTTCAACAACAAGCCCCCTATATAAACGGTTGGATATTCTGTTCTGGAGGGGACACTTGAGAATTGGCACGGATCCTCTCTCAGGCACTTTATAGTGCTTGATGTGATACTGTTT